TAGAAGAAGGTCCTCTTCCCAGCGCCTTCCACTGCAGACCTCGATTTCCAAACCCAGTCCCTTTCCAGAGGCAAACAGGACCTGTGCCCAAACCTTCCCACAGAGCAGAAGGCCCTGGGCTTCGACTGCAGAGGGGAGGTTTTGTTTAGGGGCGCAGAGAGGGGCGGATGTGCCGGACCCTATCCCGCACAGGGAGCCAACCTCCACCGCTGGGCTGGGACCCACCCTGGGGGCAGCCGGAGGGACAGACGGACGGACACCCAGCCCCGCGCAAGCCACCGCTGCCAGGCTAACCCAAGCTGGGAGCCAAAGCCCAACCGGAGTTGGCTTTTGCCCACACGCCAGGGTATGAGGGTTGCCCGAAGCTGGTGGGATGATGGCCATGGACGCGGCGGCTGCCGGGCAAAACTCCTGATGGGAGAGGGGCGGGTAACAAAGCACTTTGCTGGCTCAGCTGCAGCGGTTTCCTGCTTCAAGTCAGATAAACAGGCAACTTAGCACAAAGCCTCTGGCCTTCCTGGTGGGTGCCACCCCCTCCCTCCCCTCCAGCCAGCAGGCACGGATATGGCGTTGCTCCCATCCCCGCTGCCTGCTGGCGCTGGCGCCAGCTGCGCCCCTGCTCGCTGCCATGGGGATCTGCCGGCACCAGACCACCAGAGCGATAACCAGCACTGCTCAGAGCCCTTCCCTACCTGGGCTTGGAGCTACTGGATGTCTCTTGCCACCCACCCCTGGACCGCGATCCCCAAAAAGGAGCCCCACGAGCTGCTCCTGTTTGCCCATCTCCTGCTGCACGCCCTTCCTGGCTCTGCCGTGTTGCCATCCTGCCTGGGGCACGGCAAACCCTCTGCCCCGGATGGCACCCACCGGGGCCGTGCTTCGTGTCAGGGTTGTGGAAGGAAAGTCAGAGGTAGGAGGGGGATGACCGGGGGCTGGCTCCTGGGGCCATCCATCGCCAGCCCTGCCAGATGCAGAGGCAGCCTGACACGGCGCAGAGCCCGTTCTTAATCTCGCCTTCGTTTTTCCCATGTCCTAAGCGCAGCTGGTCCCAGCCCTCTTGCTCTCTAGGAATCCAGTTACTCATCCGCAAGCTCATGAGAGACGAGAGGCCCAATCCTGGACACAGGAGCAAGAGAAGTTGCTCGGAGCAGAGTTAAAGCCCTTAAGGTGGGTGAAACATCTTGCTGTGGCCAGGCAGCCCAGTGCCAGCAGGTTTTGTGGTTACTGCTGGGTGACTAACACACATTAGACTCCCAAAGCTCAGCAGAGCCTCGTTGCCTGCCAGCCCCTGCCCTCCGGATTGTGCCACCACGGCTGTGCCCGGGGCCATGGTGACATGATACCTCCTTGGGAAATGTCCCAGCTCCCTCAACAGCAGTAAAATTACCCCAGCAGAAAAATTCCCCCGAAGAGCTGAATTCCCCCGTGAGTGGCAGCTGCATCTCTCAAATCATTGCTGACATCAAGCCATATAGAACAACTAAAACCAAAGAAGTTTAAAAATAAAAGTGGTGCAAAGCCCAGGCAAGTCCCAGAATGGATGGTGTGCCAGCAGGGCTGCACCCCCCAGCCATGGCAGCATCTCCAGAAATCCAGTCACCGAATGGGAAAGGCGGAAAAAGTCGGACTCCCAGCCCTCCAGAAACCCAAACCCCACCAGAACCCGCGACGCCAGCACTCACCGTGCTGCGCAGTGCGCCTGTGACGCCGGGCGGCAGATGCCCGGTGTGCCCAGGCAGCGCGGCTCTCCCCGTCGCCTGTGCCGCACCGCGGCAGAGCCATCTGATGAAGTGTGGGGGCATCTAGGACCCCGCTGGGCGGGAGGTGTGTCACCCTCTGGAAGTCCCTGGAAAAGGAAGGGAGACGTCAGTGCCCACAGCCGGACTCCCTCGGGGATTTTGGTTACGGTTGTGCCAGGTGTTTGACCCCAGCCAGGGTTTTCACCCAACGAGCTTCATGGCCCACCACGGGGAGTGCACCTGAGTGATAGTGCAAGAATTTGGCCCTGCAACCACACGTGAGTGGTGAGCCACCTCCTAGCAGGGCAAGAAATAGACAGGGGAGCCTAAAAACCACCTTTTCCAGTTTTTAACCCCAGCTGCTTGACTTTGCACTTGACTTCGCACGGGGTCAGGCAAGGGATGCTCCCAGAGCCAACGCGATCTCCTTCGGAGAAGCCAGAGCCGGGGCTGCCGGCTC